ATTTGCCAAATAACCATTTTCCAGAGCCTAATGTCGAATGTGATCGTTGAAATGACCAGCTCATCGGCGTCCAGATACCTAAAAGGAGGCATTCTACTGGATGACCGTATCGAAATGTCCCCCGGCAAGCGGATTCATGAAGCGAACCGTCTGGGAATCCCGTTTATTATTGTTCTGGCCAATGAGACCGAGAGGAGTCTGGTTACACAGGTAAATTGGTCTGAAATGTGCTGAAAAATGCTTAAAATCGTCTAAATTTGTCTAAAATGAGCTAAAATGACCCTAAAAACGCTGAAAATGGCTCAAAATAGCCCAGAAATAGTATAAATCACTCAAAAACGGCTGGAAAATCGTCCAAAATAGATCGAAAATGGTTCAAATGACTCTAAAATAGTTTGAAGTAGACCACAAGTGCCGGAAATGAGCTTAAAACGCCTATAATGGGCCTAAAATGACCTGAAAACGGCTTAAAATGAACCTTAATTGATCTTAAATGGCCTGAAAACGCCCAAAATAAGCCTAAAATGGACGAATACTGGCCTAAAACTGCCTAAAATGACAGGAAAATTGGTTAAAATGGACCTAAACTGACCTTAAATGGCCTAAAAAGGACCATAAAATTATGGAAAATTGCAAAACCTGACCTGGAAATTTCGTAAAATTGCCTATAATGGGCCTAAAATGGCTTAAAATGGACCTAAACTGACCTTAATTGGCCTAAAAATGGCCTAAAACCCCCTCAAATAGACCTAAACTGGCCTGAAATCGCCTGAAATGACCCAGAAAATTGCTGAAACGGGACCAAAATTGTCAAAAATCAGATTGAAAACGCCTAAAATGGACCTAAACTAGCCTAGCATGAGCCTCAATAGTCTAAAATGGCCTAAAATGATCCCAAAAGTTGCCTAAAACAATTCAAAACTAGCCTAAAATAACCTAAAATGGTCTGAAATTGCCTAAAAAGGACCAAAAATCGCCTCAAATAGACGTAAACTGGCCTGAAATTGCCTGAAAAGACCTAGAAAATGGCTTAAGATCAGCTGAAATTGCTTAAAATAGTCCAAAATGGCTCATTTTAAGCCTAATTCGAGAATTCTGAAAATTTAAAAAAATCGCAAAAATTTCAAATTGCTCCAATTCTGATGAAAATTGTTATGACGACCTGAAATTGTGTGAAAAACACTATGGGCAGTTTTTGTTTTCGAAAAATCGAAATTTGAAAAAAAAAATTTTTTTTGAAAATTTCAAATTTTTCAAATTTTTCCAGGAACCAGTGATCGAAGTGTTCACCACGCACCCAAAATCGGCGGATCCCGTTGATCAGGGATCAATGACCCTCGATCGATTTGTGTCATTCGTCCAATCTCAGCTATACGGTAGCTACAGTAACCTGGACCATCTGCATGTGCTAGACGAGTTGGGAGCGGCTGGAGACGAGAATGGACCACAGAAATAGAATGCTCGGGGCTTAATTACCCCCCCCCTCCGCCCTAATTAGTGTTAATTATCCTTAATTACTTCCTATTTTAGTTGTTATCATTGATTTCGTTATTTTTTTTTCTTTAAAAAATATAATTTTTGAAAAATATTTTTTTTTTAATTTTTATATTTTTTTGTTGGTATTTTTCAACCAATTTTCTATTTTCCTATGTATTTTAAACCATTTTTGAACTATTTTGGACCATTTTGGACCATTTTTGATCATTTTTGATTAATTTTGGACCATTTTAAACCATTTTTGATCAATTTTTGATCATTTTTGACCATTTTTGATTAATTTTGGACCATTTTAAACCATTTTTGATCAATTTTGGATTATTTTGGACCAATTTTGGACAAGTTATGATCAATTTTTGACCATTTTTGACCATTTTTAACCATTTTTAACCAATTTTGATGAAATTTGGACCATTTCTGGTCCATTTTAAACCAATTTTGGCCAAATTTGAACCATTTTTGATCAATTTCTGACCAATTTTGGACCAATTTTTGGACCATTTTAGACCCTTCTTAACAAATTTTGGACCATTTTGGACCAATTTTGGACAATTTTTGATCAAATTTGGACCATTTTAAACCATTTTGAACCAATTTTTTGACCATTTTTGGCCATTTTTGGACCATTATTGACCATTTTTGACTTTTTTCGGGCCATTTTTTTTTGTAAATTTCAGAATTTTTCAGTGCCAAATGACGTCGTCGTCGAATACCACTGAATCGGAATCGCTGGAGAGTGGAAAGGACGTCGTCGAGGAGCCAGTGATTCGGCGCGAATCATTTGCAGCGTTGAGAAGAAGTGAGCTCATTTTGACGCATTTTTTGAGCCAAAAATCGCGAAAAATCGAGTGAAAATCGTCTGAAAATGGCTGAAAATGACCGGAAAACTCCCCAAAAATACCTGAAAATGACATTAAAATTGTCAAAAATCGTTGAAAATTAGCTGAGATGATCCAAAAATTCCTAAAAATCAGCTGAAAACGGCTGAAAATGACCCAAAATTGACTGAAATTTAGCTGGAAATGGCTGGAAATGACCTAAAAATGATCTAAATGACCTGAAAAAGACCTAAAAGGTGACCAAAATTGCCAAAAATAAGCTTAAAAATGACTATAATGAGCCTAAAATGACCTAAACATCGGTTGAAATGGACCTAAACTGGCCTCAAATTGCCTGTAATGGGCCTATGATGGTCCAAATGGCTGAAAATGTGCCGGAAATAGACCCGAAAGTACCTGAAAACGACTGAAATGATCCAAAATTACCTGAAAATTGACTGAAAATCAGTCAGAAATGGCTTAAAGTTGGCTGAAATCGTCGAAAAATCTTAAAAATTGACTGAAAATTAGCTGGAAATGGCTGAAAATGGCCTGAAAATGACCTGAAAACAGCCTTTTTTGCCAATTTTGAGCCATTTCCAGCTAGTTTTCAGTCAATTCATGGTCATTTTAGTCAGTTTTCAGCTGATTTTCGCCAACTTTTGACCTTTTCCCGGTCATTTTCAGCCATTTCCGACTGATTTTCAGTCTGTTTTTGAGCCAAAATTGAAAAAAAATTGACTGAAAATTAGCTGGAAATGGCTGAAAATGACCTGAAAACTCCCAAAAATACCTAAAAATGGCCTTAAAGTTGTTCAAAAATCATTGAAAACTAGCTGAAATGACCCAAAAATGGCTGAAAATGACCGGGAAAAGGGGTTAAGTTCCCGAAAATCAGTCAGAAATGGCTAAAAAGTGGCTTGAAAAACTATTTTAAGCCATTTCTGACGGTTTTTTAGTCAATTTTGATCAATATCAGCCGTTTTCGGCCAATTTACAGGTACTTTCGGGTCTTTTTGAGGCCATTTTCAGCCATTTGGACCTACGTTTAGGTCATTTTAGGCTCATTATAGTCATTTTTAAGCTGATTTTTTGCAATTTCGGTCAACTTTTAGTTCATTTCCAGACATTTCCAGCTAAATTTCAGTCGATTTTGGGTCATTTTCAACCTTTTTCAGCTGATTTTCAGACATTTTAGACTCTTTCCGGTCATTTTCAGCTATTTCTAAACGATTTTCAGTATTGGCTGATTTTGGTGCCAAATTCTTCACCGTTTTCCCCACAAATTCTAGTGATTGCTCATGCTTAAAATTCCAGACAACGTAGCACCGCGCCAGCTGCGCATCGTCACCCTCAACGCGTGGTGCCTGCCCCAACCATGGCCAATCGGTTCGACGGATCGAGTGCATCGACTGCAGAAGATTGGAGAATACATGAGGAATGAGACTTACGACATCGTTGGACTCCAAGAACTATGGTCCTACAACGACTTTGTGAGGCTCTCCGAGCAGGTCAAAGATGCCTATCCCTATTTTCATTACTTCCATTCTGGCTTCACTGGTTCGGGTAAGTCGCGAAAAGTGCTAGAAAATTGCTGAAAAACGACAAAAAATGGGACTAAGAAATCAGGATTTTTGAGCAGTCTGGATCAAGCTAAGCCTAGATAGCACAGCCTAGATCAGGCTTAGGGCTAGTTAAATCAACCGAAATCAACTTGAGCCTAGCTAGATCAGTTTAGACCAAGAGCTATATTATCGTTCTGGATCACATTTCAAATGGTTAAGATCAGCCTAAGAGCCTAGATAGATCAGCCTAACCTAGAGCAACCTAGATCTAGGCCTAAGACTAGATAGGTCAATTTAGATCAACCATCGAGCAGTCTAGAGCTTCGCAAGGCTAGATAGATCAATCTGCATCATCCTCGATCATTTCACTGCAGAGGCTCTCGGAGCAGGTCAAAGATGAGTCCATCCCTATTTTCATTCCATTCTGGCTTCACTGGGTCGGGTAAGACTTTGAATACATTGAAAATTGCTCTAGAATGAGCCGATGGCCTAGCAAGAAATCGTCATTTTCTTTTTTCTAAAACTTTGGATCTAAATGCAATAAATAATGAGCCCGAAAACTATCTCAAAGCAAAAAAAAAAAGAAAAATGACAATATCAGTTAGCTTAGAAATCGATTTTCATTGTGATTTTTTGGCCATATTAAGCGCCACATTATTTTTTCAGCACAATCAAAGATTTTCAGTCCAGGTCAGTCGATTTTTGCAGTGATTTTTTAACGACAATTGAAATGCACTTTTTGGCTCAGGACAAACCTTATGATTGATGAGCATAGATCAGCCCCTAATCCTAGCCTAAATCAGTCCAGGTTCATTCTGGATCAATCAGTCTAATACAGTCTAGATCAGCTTGAGTCTAGCCTAGATCAGTCTAGATCAGCCTAAGTATAGATAGATCGTCGTGGATCACCTAGATCAGTCTAAGCCCAGATATATGTCAGCCCTAGATCACTTCAAATCAGTCAAAATCAGTCTAGGTCAGCCTCGGTCAGTTCTAAATCAGTCTGTATCAGTCTGGATCAGCTTAAGCCGAGATAGATCAGTTTAGGAAAGCATAGATCAGTCTAGATCAGTCTAAGCCTAGATAAATCAATTCAGATCAGCCCTAGACCAGCGATTTCCAGGCGTGTGCGTGTTCTCTCGCCATCCGATCGTCTCCACCCTGACGAGTCGTTATTCCCTCAACGGCTTCGCCCACCACATCCATCGTGGTGATTGGTTCGGTGGAAAAGTGGTCGGATTGACGGAAGTCGAGATTGATGGAGATCTGAGAGTCAACTTCTATACTACACACTTGCATGCGGAGTACGATCGGGAGAATGACCTCTATCTGCCGCATCGGACTGCGCAGGTACGGTATTTTTAAGGGGCATATTTGAGAAACGGCCCCATAACTTCCTTCGGGGTCCATATTTTTAGACCAACTAAAATGGATAAGATCGAATTTGAGGAGCCCTACAACATGATACTAGTTGGATTACTGTAGCTGTTCTATGAGCAAAGGTAGAAGCTAAAAATCAGCCTTGGTTTTTGGGTTCTATAACTTTGTTCATAGACTAGCTACAGTATCCCTGACGCTGGAGAGGAAGGCGTTGAAGGCGGCGAAACAGGCGATGCAGCAGATTTTGAATAACTAGATGCAGCTCCATTTTTAGCTCTAAATGTATAATTGAAAAATGAACCTTACTGTAGCTTCTCTTGGAATCTGTACCTTCAAACCAACTAATTCTGATATGATAGTGATTGACGAGCCCTACAAAATGATACGATTTAGAATACTGTAGTTGCTCTATGAGCAAAGATAGAAGCTAAAAATCAGCCTTGTTTTTAGGGTTCTATAACTTTGTTCATAGACTAGCTACAGTATCCCAACTGGTGTCATTTTGTAGGGCTAGTTGAGTCCTACAGTATCCAATTCAATTGGTTCAAAAATATTGATCCTGAAGGAAACTATAGATAAGATTCGTTTTCGGCATGTTTCAAGCCCATTTTCCAGAGCTTCGAACTGGCTCAATTCGTCCGCCATACGGCTCGTGGCGCCGACGTCGTCATAGTGACGGGGGACTTGAACATGGAACCGTGTGATTTGGGATTCCGCCTGATTCTGTCCCACGCGAAACTGTTTGATGCGTGGAGAATGAGTCATGAGGTGGAGACGACGGACGGTGACGATGGGGAGCTGCTGAAGTTCCGAGGAATCGCCAAGGGTGGCACGTGTGACAGGCCAGATAATTGCTATTCGAAGAAGGCGTTGAGGGAGAAGGTTTGGCTGAAAATCCATCGAAAAATGTTAAAAATTTGAGAGTTTAAGTTTCAAAATGGCTCTATTTTTTGGAGCCAAAAATTTTGAAATTTCCAGCCAAAAATGGCTTTTTGGCGCCAAAACTACTGTATTTAATCCGAAAAATCTGGACATTTTTGGCTTTAAAATGCTGGAAATACACACTCTTAAAATCGCAATTTTAGAAATACCTTCTAAAAAATCTTGCTCATTTTTCGGCGCATGCTCATCCAGGATGAGCAAATTTGAATTTTTAGAAAATTTTCAAAATCGTCCAATTCTGACCAAAATTGATATGACGGCCTCAAACTGGGTAAAAATCAATATTTTGAAAAAAATTTCGAAAAAAAAGTTGAAAATTGAAAAAATTTTTTTCGAATTTTCGATTTCTTCAAAAAATAATTTGCTTATATTGGTTTTTAGACGATTTTAGGTCGTCATATCAATTTTAATCAGAATTGGAAGATTTTGAAATTTTTCGAAAAAATTGTGTTTTTTGAGTCATCCTTTCAAATGAGTTTTCAAATTTGTTCAGTTAATTTTTCGGATTTTGCGAATTTTCAAAATCAAAAATTGACGCAAAAGTGATGAAACTACAGTATCCTCGAAATACAAACTACAGTAATCCCAAAAATTCATAAATCTTCCAGGACGACAGCAAGCGCATCGACTATATGCTCTTCAAATCGGGCCGTTGCAATGTGAAGCTGGAAGAGTGTGAGATCACACTGAACCAGATACCCGGAGAAGATCTCAACTACTCGGATCACGTCGGCCTCCGTGCTCGATTCACAATCGATGATCGATTCAGACACGAGAAATCCATCAATACCTGGGAACCGAATCGTCCATTGCTCATCGAGGCGATCGGAATCGTTGCTGGAGGCGAACGACGTGCGCGCACCGACAGAATCTTCTTCCTGGTCCTGGCTGGCATCTGTTTGATTCTGATTCTTGGCTCGTTGTTCTTTGAAGTGTTCCCCATGGGATTTGCGATTCTGAGATTTGCGTTGACGGTGATTGGAGTGTTCTTCGTGTGGCAGGGATTGATTGGGCTCACGTTGGAGAGGAAGGCGTTGAAGGCGGCGAAACAGGCGATGCAGCAGATTTTGAATAACTAGATGCAGCTTCATTTTTAGCTCTAAATGTATACTTTTATCTTCCAGAATCTATACCTTCAAACCAACTAATTCTGATATGATAGTGATTTAACGAGCCCTACAAAATGATACGATTTAGAATACTGTAGTTGCTCTATGAGCAAAGGGAGAAGCAAAAAATCAGTCTTGGTTTTAGGGTTCTATAACTTTGTTCATAGACTAGCTACAGTATCCCAACTGGTGTCATTTTGTAGGGCTAGTTGAGTCCTACAGTATCCAATTCAATTGGTTCAAAAATATTGATCCTGAAGGAAACTATAGATAAGATTCGTTTTTGCTCGTATTTTTCATGTAAAATGTCTCAATTAAAAAAAAAACTCAATCTAGTCTCCCCCACGATTTGTCCTTCTTTTGGGCATTATAACAATCATATTCAGTAGTGATTACCGTATTTTTTTGAGCTCAATTATCTCGATTCCTGTAAGTGATATCAAAAAGTGGTCAACTGATAAACTGTTAAGCATAATATCAGCAATATTTTATCAGTTGACAGATTTTTGATATCATTCGAAGGAAGCGAGATAATTGAGCTCCTATCCCGATACGATTTTTATGGTTTAGACTGTGATAAGAAATGTATACCTCCCCTGATTTTATGTCTTTTTTTTCCTATTTTCAATGTGCAATAAAGGATTCTTGTAGGTTTATATGCCTTTTTTTGGGATTTTTTTTGTTTCTTGAAATTCGTGGAAAAAGTCGATTTATATATCTAAAATGTGTGTTTTTTTTGTAATTTTTTGAGATTTTTCGGTGCCTTTCAAGCCATTTCCAGCTATTTTGAACTATTTTCGCATACTGTAACCAACCTAACTTTAATCTTATTTATCTCGATTCCTGTGAAAGATATCAAAAAGTGGTCGACTGATAAAATGTTGCTGATATTATCATAAACATTGTATCAGTTGACAACTTTGTGATATCTCCTACAGTAACCCAGATAAATGAACTCAAAGTTAGAGGGTCGTTCTAACACAGTTATGACGGTATCTCTAACTTTGATCTTATTTATCCCGTTTCCTGTAAGAGATATCAAAAAGTGCCAACTGATAAAATGCTCCGAATACTATGATAAACGTTTTATCAGTAGACCAAAATTTGATATCTCCTACAGTAACCCAGATAAATTGGCTCAAAGTTGAAGGTTATGGGGATATTCTCCTCTGTTTTCATTGCCTTATTTTAACCTATTTGAGCTTTTCATTCCCTGATTTTTTTGAAAAAATTTTTTCGATTGTTTCAGCTGGTTACAGGCCTAGTCAAGCCTATTTCAGCCTATTTTCTAGCTATTTTTCGTCTAATTAGCGTAATTCTATAGCTACACTTAGGCTAGCTTTCTAGCTATTTTTAGACTATTTCAGCCGATTTAAATCTAATTTTCCAGCTATTTCTAGGCTCGTTTAAGCCTATTTCAGCCTTACGTAAAGACTCTAATAGAACGTCATCCGGACCGTCCGCTTTGAGCCTATATATCTCACTTCTTTTGCATGATA